CAGACCATATCGTTGTCATAAAACCAAAGTTATCAAAATGTATCGATACATCATTAATATCAGAGTAAATCACAAAATATGGAATCGAGTTGTGTGTGCTCCGCAATCATCCCGAGCTCTTCCCTTTGGAACCAGAAGTACTTGAAACATAAACTGAAAACCGTAAGCACAAAGCTTAGTGAGTTCCCCAAATACCACATACCATACATACACAAATAAACATATAATAGGCCCCGCCGTTCATCGGGCCCCGCCCGACATACATATAAACATATGACATATAAGCACATACACATGCAATATCACAAAGATACATAGCATACAGAATAGTCATCGGGCCGTACCCGACATCGGGCCCCACCCGGTAAGCATACGAGTACAAAACACATGCAAGAGTCACGTAGACATATAGCATCCTAACATAAAAAAATCATGGATCGGCATTGGTGCCTTCGACCCGCTAAATATGGTGAGGAAACTCACCTCGCACTGTCGAATCTCACAAAAAGAATCTCTGACTGCTGGCCCACTAAAATCCCCGCGCTATCAATCACAAAATGATCATCCAATCAATAATTGGATCCTAATCCATAACATCAGGGTAAAAAGATCATTTTACCCCTTCCTTAGTTTGGTCCAAGACTAAGGCCCATACCTATAATCCAAAAAGGCCCAATTCCTAGTTAATTATCCTAGGCCCAAACATGGCCCAATTTGGAAATTTGGGCCCAATCCCTTTCATGGGCCTTTTCCATGAACCCAAAACAAGAACCATCCCAAAAACTTGATGGCCCACAAGGCCCTAAGCATCTAAGCCCAAATATGGCCCAAATTGAAGCCCAAACGTCCGAAGCCCAGCCTGCTGAGTATGCCCCGCGTACTCAGCATGTACGCGCAACGTACTCGCTTAAGGGCTTGTACGCTAAGCGTACCTGCATGTATGCCTAGCGTACTCCTACTATATGGCCAACATCCATTTTCCAGCTCCTAATCGATTAAGACCTCCATCCAAACTCAGATCTGACTTCCTTAAGATGGTTTATCACGTAAAGTTGCCAACTTTACGTGCATACATGGCTTAAAGAGGTTCTAGAGCTCAATAGAGCTTAATAAATGACTTAATACATGCATGAGAGCATCATACATACTTATAAAGCTAGCATTTTTTCTTGAATCTCATGCATTTGAAACCCCCATAAAAATTTGTCAACACCTCATGCATTTGAAACCCCCACACCCTTTCACCTTCAAAGTAATTAATCACACATAATCCCATTCACACACTCTATAAGTTCAACACCTCATGCATTTGAAACCCCCACACCCTTTCACCTTCATTATATATGTAGTTATATTAGTACATTTTTCTTACAAAAAGTCGTCATTTGGTTGATGATATTATGATTCAAAATTTTTCATATAGTTGAAGCATTCACGATCCAAATATGATGATTTGAAGAAATGGGTTATGTCGCATCGATGGTAATTGTAATATGATTTTATCTTTCAACCAAAACAAATGAAGTTTTTCTATTCTTTCTTTATATTCAATTTCTCATTTTATCTTTATATGTGATTTATATGTATTACTCAATCTTGAATGTGACTCTCCAAACATCAATGTTTTGCTTGGAATATCTTTCTCATTCTTCTTTTTCAAGAAAAACATTTTGATTGCAGGTTAGTGAAGAATTGTCATCAAGTTTCTATGGTTGAATGGTGTTAAATAAAGAAAGAAGATTCAGAAAACGGATATATGTTTTTTTTTTGTTTGAGCAAAGTAGACGAATGTTAGTTTTTTCTTTTGATTTAAACGTATATTTATGTAACATTTTTATTTATATATTCAACCACCCAATGTTCTTATTTATTTGATTGTAGTTTTTCTATTTTGATTATGTTTATTTTCTATTAATTTTTGTTGGATTGTCCTACACAACATATTTACAAGACAATATTTAAAAGATAACATAATTTTTAACATTTGATATGTAATTATGATGACTTATCATGATATGTTCTTCATATGAAAGTAATTTATCCATATTACTACGACAAGAATTACATATGACATTTACGAAAATATATATTATATGTGATTTGTTTAACATATATATGCACTTATGTATGTTATAAATTTATAATTAAATATCTTTATGTTTAATAATTGAAGGGATTAAAATGATGCATCAAAACCAATTATTTAGACGAATATAATAATAATAATAATAATAATAATAATAAGTATACATTTCCAAGTATCGTATTCATTTGAAACTCACACTACAACTCAAGAGTTTTCTAATTTATGTATATTTATTAGTTACAACTCAAGAGTTTTTAACTTATGATTATTAATTAGTAATCACTAATAACTTTTTATTTTCCTTTCTTTTATAAGGTTGTAAAGTTTTTCTCATTAAAAACATTAATGTATTTGAAGAGATTTGTGATTTTAATATGAAAAGTTAATATAAAATGTTATAATAAATGTTTTAGTGTTTTTATATTATTAAAAGTTGTAGTGTTTATTTTTCATATTTTTTATTATTCGTTGTATATATATCTTTTTTAATACAAATTTTATAATAGATGTTTTTGTATTTTTATGTTACTAAAAGTTGTAGTTCATATTTTTGTTCATATATTTTGTTACCCGTTATATATAGATTATCATATGTTTGATATATAATTTACACAATTTTAAACGGTTTATAAAATTATCAAATAATTGTATATATCACAATGACTTCAAAATTAAAACTATAATCAGCATATCATCATACTATATTATAAAGAGATCATTTTTTTCTTTCACCACATTCATTTGAAACTCCAAACTTTTCATATTTCCATACAATATGCTTAATTTATTAACTTAAATATGCTTTTAGTTGTAAACATTATCATAAATGGAAGAATTTGTGACTTATCAATATGATATACTTAATTTGTTAACTTCAATATATAGTTAAATAAATAACCTACATTAATATATCAAATAAGCTTAAAAATTTAGTGTAAAATTTAAAACCTAAAGTAAAATATCAAATAGTGTTTAAAAATTCAATATATATTTTTTAACATAGTTAAAAGGAAAACATTAAATATAATAATAATAAAAGAACCTAAATTGATGAATCGAATTAACTAACAGGTGTCTGAAAACTATATATTCTAACAATATATTTTTAACCTGCGTCGCGCAACGCGCGAGAATTCGTCTAGTAAACACTATAAAGTTTGCACCTTTAAGCATAAAGAATCCTCCAAACATCCACATCCACAAGATTTAGCTTCTAAAACGGCCTTAACCCATCAAGACCAACCAAAAAGGGACAAAGAAGCATAAAACCATAACATGAAGAGATCTAAGCAAGGAGAAGACAAGGTATAAACTTTATACCTGAAAAGACTTGCAAAATGAGTGGTGATTCTGGATCTCTAAGCTTCACACTAAGCAATGCACCTTTAACATTCTTCTATCCCTTCAAAATGAGCAAAATAAGCACCAACTTCTTCTCAAGAGTTCAAAGACAAAAAAATTGGAGGTAAAGAGGCCAACCTAGGGACTTAAGGAGTTTATATAGGGTGCAACACCCTAAAATTAGGGTTTCATTAAACCCTCGTAAGCCTCGGTTCCGCGATCAATCCCACTTTGTACGCTAAGCGTACCCAACGGTACGCCACACGTACTAACCCGAAGGACCAAATTGCAATATTTAAATACAAAGGGGCTAAAATGGAACATACCCAAATCCAAGAGTTAAGCAGTTGATTGTTAGGAAAAATAATCTAAATGAGAGTTGAAGATATCGTCAATACCTATCTGTCAATATAAAGATAGCTGAGAACAGATATCGTATGAGAAAGTTATGATTTTATACGGACTTTAACAATCTAAGCCTATAAAAATACAACTTTAAAAATAAAGTGAGAATTATCCAACTGAGTCTAAATGAAATTTGTAGATCTTATCGATAGCTACGCGTGGATATAAATAACGTCGAAAGCGGAGCTCGTATGAAGAAGTTATGAAATTTACAAAATCTGCATTTTGCACGGCGCGCGCAGCTTCTAGAAGGTGCAACGTAGAAAATAGGGGTTTTGACACGTGGCAAGCAGCGTATGGATCGACGTTACCCTAGTTCACAGCGCGTACCTACAGTATGCGGCGTGCATCCTTACTATCTCTCCGGCTCTCACTATTTTCTCACAATCTCTTCACTCCAAACTCTCTGGAGACCACCCACCCCTCGAGTCCAACCTTTATGGGTTTTTGGAGTACTTTAGCAAAGCTCTGAGGCAATGGGTCGGGCAAATAAAAGTGTTCGGTATCGAAGCCCTGCCTGCGATCTTCCTGGTTTTCGCTAGGATCCCTGTAAATACTTGTTAGGGGTGTTACCAGCCAGATTGGATCGTCAGTAGAATCGACCAGATAACTGCCAATCATTTAAATAATTGTCCATGTGATTTACCTCACTATAATGTGTATTACAATACATATCAATGTTTGTTGTGATATAAGAATCAATAGATTAGAGCCGATGGTAAAGTCTCTATGTGTTTAATGTTAGTGTACTCGAAACTAATATATTAGAAAGTATAGTCTCTATGTGCCTGTATCAGTAGAGCCTAAGTTGTAGTCTCTATGTGTGTAATATGATTATGTATGTTGGGCGGGGCCCGTCATATAAATTGGACGGGGCTCATTATGTAGTTTGGGTAGGGCTCGTTTATATGTAGGTTGGGCAGGGCCCATTGTGTAGTTTGGGCGGGGCCCGATAAATGTATTATGATATATGGTATTTTGGGGAACTTAATAAGCTTCGTACATATTCATTTGATTATAAATATTTTTCAGGTATTTCATTGACTCGTAAGAGGGGCAATGTTCGACTGTACAGACGTGTATTCGCAACATGTTTCTGCATAATGTAATTACAATCTAATATATTTTAATAAATAAAAATGAAAAAATTAGGTTAAAAATGGGGACGTTACACCTTCGTTACATATACAGAATGTGACAGTACACTGCCTTTAAGATTGATTCTTCCACTTTCATCTTCAAGAACAAGATTATCATCTTCGTGCACAAAATTATCAGGGGTCACAAGTGGAGTTACAGACCTCTGTGTAAAATAGAATGACAAAGATTTATAAAAGCTTATAGACATGATATGAAAACAAAAGGGAAGCAGTGTTGATATCAATTATCAAATCATAATTTATACCTCTTTTGAGTACTCAGTGAGGATTGTAGGTTTGAGTTTCATATGCTTATAAATTGTTCCAACAACAATGCACTCTTTGCCTTTTTCTAGCCCCAAAACTGTACACACTGTATCATGACAAAAGTACATGATAAGATCGTATAAAGAAACCCATAAAAAATGCATAAAAATATTTAACATCTGTGTTTTTAAAGTTGTTATGCTCTTTAAACGTAAGACAGATAAAGAGAAGTGGTGAATTTTGTTGAGGGTAAAATATGATCCTTCAACATGGAAATGGAAGAGATGAAAAAGACATTGAAGTATAATGCTATGATTGATTAAAATTTAAAATATAAAGTGATTTCACTGCTTAATTAGTTAAAAAAATTGAAAGTTTGATGCTACCAAAAGAATTGTTAATCTGCTTAATTTTGTACTGTTTAAAATTGTTAATTGCTACCAAAAGAATTTACCATTTTGATCAGCTTCTCCTTAATCTGCTTTGGCAACTGAAGAATCTCAAGGGTCTGTATGTTTAACAAATTGGAATCCACCTTCTGATACAGAGATAGCAATAACTGCTTTACCATGCAATATTCACCATTTTTTTAATAAAAAAAGGCTCATCTTTCGTGAAGATAATAAATAAGCACAAGTTTTAGAAACAGAGGGGTATTTCTGGAAATACACAAACAGAGTCATAGACTCATATGATCTTTTGTAATCAGTGGATAGAAGGAGGTAATTTGATAAAGCACGTTCATAATTTCATAACATGTAATCAATCACCCAATGCCCTTATTTGAGATTGGTTCAAAGGAACTAAATTTGTACCTTTAAAAAGCATGAAGTGTTTTATAGTCATGCTATGACTATAACACTTTGATTCTCGGGAGCATCTTGTTTCCCTTTTCTCCAGTCTCCACCACAAGTAAATAAAGAATTTTAAAATGATTCTCTGACAAAAAGCTCGGCTCAGCAACTGAAATGTGGCTGTTTTGTATGCAATATTAGATATAGAACCATCTTAAATACATAATATTACCTAAAATAGACTTAAAAATTCCATTTTTCCTCTATTCTCCATGCCCGTGTTGATTACAAATTAGTGAGTTTATATACATTTTCTACAATATTAGTCGAATATATAATCCACTGAGTTGCAAAGTATAGATCATTCTTCTTGTGGATGTTCACACATATATGTCCTTAATATGAGTTCAATATAGTTAACGATGTCCCCACTAAGAACAAAGGGCAGAGATGTACAATTAACCAAAATCATGAAAGGATATGTAATCGAATCTATTAATAAGAATTAGCGGCAAAAAATATCAAAATAGAGATGCAATATAAAAAATTGATTATTCATGTGTTTGGCTGCAACTTATTGGAAACAACTTGTAGACAGACTACCAGAATGTAAACATTAAAGAAGGTAACTAATTCGGTGGAGCAAAATTAGAAGATAATCAGTTGTTTTTTTTCTTTTTTTTTTGGAAAACTTAAAGAAAACTACAAGTTTTTGATAGGTTCTACGTATAAGCATACATACATGACAGCCATATATTCACTTTTGCCATATATATATATATATATATATATATATATATATATATATATATATAATGCAAAAATCTTACTAGATTAAATTTTACTTATGCAATGTCTTAATAGGTTAGATATTGAAACTATAATGCAAAAAAATTGAAATAAAAATGCTATAATTGCTTGAAAAAAAAAACTAAAACTATCAGGAAAGAAAATTTAAAGTATAATGCTACAATTGGTAACCAATATGAAACATGTTTAGATTTTCAAAACACCATGTCTTCAATAGATAAAAAAAAAGAGTAAGAGAAAATATCCTAATAGGCTAGATTAAAAGTACTATGTTGTAGTTGTCTAGATTTCCAAAGTACATTATCTATGTAGAAAATATATAATGTCTAATAATATTAGATTTTCCAAGTGTAAAGTTTTAATAAGAAAAAGTTTAAAGGTAAAAATTTTGCAAAGTCCGTTGTCTTAATAAGAAAAAGAAATATAAATTACAACGTTTAATTATGATACATTTTGAATATAAAATGTTATATATGTTTACCAGAATCAAACAAGTTTAGATTTTCAAAATTAAAAGTCTCAATAATAAAAAAATTTAAAGCTATACTGCTATAATTGGTAACAAAAAACAAACATGTTTAGTTTTTAGAAGTAGAGTGACTTGATTGGAAAAATATTAAAATTACAATGTCTTAATGGGTTTGATTATGAAAGTATAATGTTTTAATAGAAAGTAATATACCTTAGCATCTAAATATCATTCAGTTGCAACACACAGACTTATGAGGCCAATATGGAAAGGATTTTTTTATTGTTACCCTGTTAGACATTTTGCATTTATATTCAATAGTCAACAAAGTACAGTTTGGTTTGGTTTCTGAGCTTGTCCATAACACGTCTCATAACCTTAATGTTTTAGTGCATTCAAATACCCTGAAACCATGTGATACTTTTTAATTAGTATTGTAGTTTGTGAGGGTAGAAGAGTAAATTTACTTGCCTTTCGAATTGGATCAGAATCCAACAGAAACAGAAAGCAGTTGTTTTGTTTGAAGTAGTTGTGTAATGGGCTGTTGAGTAGTTCCATATCAAAACAATAATAGACATGTTAGATTAGAAACCGCGGATAAGAAATGGAATCGCGGATTCCGGCAGAGTTGGAATTCGAGATTCAATTTCTTGACTGACGTGTTTGGTTGACAATTTGGACGGAATCCACTTCTGTTGGATTTCTTGAAATTCCATGTTTGATAATCACAACTAGGAACTGGAATTGTGGATGCCGGTGGAATTGGAATTCGAGATTCCAATGAATGTTGCCTTTGGTTGAAAATTTAGAACTTTGTCAAATAAATTCCTTTGAATTTCATATTTGATGGACTTCAACCATTTATAGGGGCAGGTGGAAGGAATGCCAGTTTCATTCCTCCCTTTTTTATTAAATGACCAAAATACCCTTGATTATATATTGAGATAGGTTAAAGAATTGAGTGTGCATGCCATTTTGATCACGGTTGAAATTTGGACCTAATCTTTCCATTAAAGAAACAAAAACACCAGAAAGCTTATGATTGTTGGTATGAATGAAGATGGTGAGAGGGAAAGTGCTTGAGGGTGGAGGTTGTGATGGAGTCATGTAGACGATGGGGACCTGATTCAATTAGGGTTTTCTATTGCCTTTTTCAACTCAATTACATAAATGGTCTCTAAAAAGGGCAAAAATTATTTTCCCATTAAACCTAACTAGAAAATTTAGACGGTGTTAGGCTTAGGGACCATATCTGATTATATATAGTCTGTTAGGCTTAAGGACCAAAAATGCAGAAAGAACCATGGGGACCAACACTGTAAATTACTCTAAAACAACTTCGTAATTGAGCATATTCAAGCAAAAATCAAACCATTCGAGTTCCACTTCCACATAATTATCAAAAGCAATAAATTTGCAATAAAAAACAAGTACATATATATCCAAAAAGTTATTCAAAACATTTCTTAGACACAAATCAATCCAATGCAAAGCAATTCCAAGAAATCAGAAGCTCAAACGTAAAGTTATTTTGATTTCTTGCCCTGTTTTTTCTTTATAACTTCATCAACATACATAATACCTTTGCCTTTGTAAACCTCCGGTGGCTTACAGCTGCGGACGGCGGCAGCAAACTGGTGCACCCTTTGCTTGTCAATTCCGGTGCAACAAACGATATTTGGTTTGAAACAAAACACACGAACAGCAGGAGGCACTGATAATTCAACTTCGTGGCTGTACCCCAGCTTCAGAAACAATAAACGTCCTTCTGATTCCGCTCTAGCTTTGAATCCAACTCCCACGATCTTCAAAAACCGAAAGAATTGAGCTTCCATTTTATCAATCACTGTTTATAAAGATAAAACCATAACTCCGACTATCTTCAGAAACTCGATTGGTTGCATTAACAACTCAATTTGACTGATAGGTTAAACAACAATTCCAGAATTGATGATTTTATCGATTATAAACCGAATCATTTTTCTCGATTAGAACCCTAAATAACCAGTGAAACGCGGAAATTGACAAGAACAAACTACGGAGGCACCTGCTCGTATACATAGGGAGAGGATAAATACCTGAAGGTCGCCGGAGAGAGAGCTAATGCCGTCGTCGATGTTAGAAGAGATGTAGTCGCCTGAGGAAAACAATCAAGATCGCGATGTGGTGTGGTCACTGTGGGTTCCGACTTCCGAGTGAAAGAAAACCACCGAAACCCTTCAACCATCTTTTACCAAAATTCATTTTTGCCCCTTGTAGTTTTAAAATTTAGAGTGGCGTTGTTACTTTTTGGTTAAATGTTTTGGTACTTGCGGTGATTTTTCCTTTTGCACAAAATATGACAATATTGTCATTCAAAATATTTACTTGTTTATTGTTAGATTTTTTTTTATTTGTTTATTGTTAAAATTTTTATTTATGGGTAAGGCGACCTTCCAATATGGAAAGTCAAATGTTCAAATCTTTGAGGGTTTCAACTAGGAGTTCATCTTTTTTATGAAAAACAATCAAATTTAGTTTTGCTGCAAGGTACGTCTCTGGCACCGACGGCATTAAAATAAAAAAATAAAAAAAAAGATTTTTAAGTAAAATGATTTTTTTGCCCTTATCTTCATATTCTCAATCTCCTTCGTCTTAAATCATAAAAACCACACCAATTTCAATAAACACCCAAAAACTAAAACAAAATTAAGATCCAAAAAATAAAATTAAAAATTCTAACCTTTGTTTTTATTTTTAGTTTAATTACTGGGTTTTGGTTTGATTAGAGTTTACGATGAAAATTTGAGGAATTTTAGGTTTAGAGGATGAAGGAGAAAAATACGGGGACAAAATAGTCATTTCACTTGGACATTTCGCAACACATCAGTAGCAGAGACAAATTGACTGACCACTGGTGATGCGACCTAGGCTTCAACCGGATTAGCGCTGGTGAATCAGGTTCCTCGTTGCCTCTGCAAGATCACAAGAAAGAGAGGCCGTCAGCCGTTTCCCAGGAGGGTGCTCCCGGAAGAACGCTCCGACGGTCAAGTTAGAAGGTATCTAGGGCTTTTTGTGTCTTCTTTTAAAGAGAAGAGCTTACCTTGTGAGTCCGAGGGTGCATCCTTTTATACCTAGCGCTCTTGCCCAGTCCGTACTAGACAAGATCGCTTTTTGGGGAGACAAGATCAGAGGCGCTGATTGGAAGGTCGTGCGTCCTCAACCGTTAGGGCACTCTTATTGGCTCTGGCGGTAATGGATTGACCCCACTGTTTGTCCCCTTATTGTCTCTTTTGTCTTGGAGCTGGGAGCGTTCTTTGGCAGGCGCGAGCCCCTCGCCTGGGCATTCTGTCCCCAGGGGCGCTGGCGGGCACTGAGCCCGCTGGGCTTAGCCCGACTGGAATGCTCGGCGCTTTGGTTAGGCGCGATTCTGTCGTGCCGTCTTAGGCACGTCATCAAGTCCCCCAGTCTGGTAGCCGTAACGTTGCAACGCTAGTTACGGCGTTCCGGGCTTAATTAGCTTACACATGTTGGTTTTTCTTTACCCGCCGTTCCGCCCTTAATGGCGACGTGACTGCGCATGATGGCTGGCAGTTACGTCATCGTGTCAGACATTTTAAATGCCCCGCCCTTTCTGTTTCTTTATAAAGACGCTTATAGGGTTTCTTTTTGCCTTCACTCTTCCTTCACCCTTCTTCGTCTTCCTTTCTCTGTGTTTTTCTCCTTTCTCCTCCTCTATGGCGAGTCTTCCTGGTATCCTTCCCTCCGCCGCTGAATACCGTCAGCTTGAAATTTCATATGGTTTATCTTCTGTGGAGGGTGTGGAATTTCCTTCTCCGGGTTCTAGCATCTCATCCCCCCCTTCTGACAAAATCGGGGTTTATTTGAAAACCCTAGACGCTGGCATCCGTTTCCCGTTGACGGACTTTCAGGAAGAAGTTCTCCAGAAGGATGGCTGCAGCTTGCAGATGCTGACCCCAAATGCTGTTAACAAAGTGGTAGCATTCGAGATGATCTGCAGGGCCAATGGCTATCTTCCCGACTATTTCGTGTTTAAGTACTTCTTCAGATTCTGCGTCACCGGAGATAAGTGCACATTTTCAGTCCGGCGAGGAGGACATGCTCTAGTTCCCGACGGACGAACCCCCAAGAACTGGCAGGATAAGTGGCTATGGGTGAATCAAGAACTGGTTGGGAGTGGTCGGTATCGAGCAAATAACTTTGCTGATACTATCCCCAAGCTTTTCCCCCACAATCAGGGCGTTGCTGATTACCTAAAGAGTGTCCAAGTATCTCTTGAGGACTACTCTGAGGCCCTCCTCTCTGGTGTAGGGATGAGTCCCTCTTGGAGGCGTCGTGGCAAAATGGCGGCGTTCTTTTGCAACGTTGACGGTAAGTGCTTTGCTTGGCTTTCTCCTTTCCTCTTTTCCTTCTCTCTCTCTTTTTTTTAGGTGACTGATACTTCACGTTCTGGCCTTCCCAGGTGCTGAATCCTCTTTGTCTATGGATGAGGTTCTACGGAAACGTTACCGGGGTAAGCTGCAGTACCGCGAGGTGGATCTAGTTGACCGGCTCCCTCCGCCTCGCCGGATGGTCCAACTTGCTTTGACTGCTGCCCCTTCTACTTCTCCTACAGGCGAGTCGGCGTCGGAGACGAATCCCTTCCATGCTCGCCCTATTTCTGCTGTCATGCCTCTGGGTAGTACCCTCTCCTCTTCCATGGAGAGTAGCGAGGATAGCAAAGAGGGTATCATCGCTGATGTTCGGCGTATGCATGCGAAAAGGAAAGCTGTCTTGGCCATGGGTGAACCGATTACCGGCACACCTAGTGTCGCCAAAAGAATTCAGACCAGGCGTAGCTTTTCCCGCCTGTTGAGTTCTATGGCTTCCACGCCAACCGGCGTGGTTGTGATCCCTGATGACGACACGCAACAGTCCAAAGGGACCCATGGGGCGCGTGATCAGCTCGTTGTTTCGTCTATTCCACCCGTACTTGTTCCAAGTGTTCCGTTTCTTCCTTCGAAGTTTTCTCCTGTCAAGGACTCTAGCGATCCCGGCCAGGCGTCACTCCCTCTGGGCGGTGTTACTGGGGAGAGTTCCGCCGGGTCCCCTGTCTTTACCCCTTCTTGGAATCTTCACAATGATTCTCGGTTATCCGTTCGTGCCAATGCTTTGGAGTTCTCTCGCCATGCTTTTCCTCCTGCTGCAGTTAGTGACATGGAGGCCATGGGTAACCCTGCTCTTGCCCACAATATGGCTTACGCTGCCGCGCAAGCCATGTTTTACCTTGTTGCCGGCTCCCGACGCATCCACTCCCTTAGCGAAATGGAGGCCACCCATGCCACATGCGAGTCGCGTGTGGTAGGGCTGGAGCGTCGCGTTGGCGAGCTTGGTGAAGACCTCCAGCTTTCTGAACAAAAGTGTCAGCTCCTTGTATCTGAGAAGGCTATCCTTGACGATGCTAGAAACGCTTTAGAGGCCAAGGTTGACTCCCTTACTCAAGTGAATGAAGGCTTGATGATTCAAGTTGAGAGTCTTGAGCGCGACGCTGCTGATCGTGACAAGTTAATCTCTTCTTTGCAAGCGGATGTGGGTGCTTCTCGTCGGGATTTGGATTGGTTAGTACGTGTGGGTGTCGTTCGTATTGTGGACAAGTTGATTAAAGTCTCATTCGACACGCTGCTTTTGTGGCTGGGATTGAATCCGTTCAGAAAGTGACCACTGGAGCTGGGTCTGATGATGTTGGTGCTTGTCTTTCCTCCACTGGTCCGGTGGTTAGCGTGAACGATGCTCTGTTATCGTTTGCGAGTATGGATCATGCATCTTTATTGGGTTTGGGAGATTTGGATATTAGGGGCCTCCGGTAGTTGTGTTCTTTCTCTGGTTCAGAAGGTACCCCAGAGGGTATGGTGATTCAAGGGGATGAAATTATGCAGGTGATCGAGGGTGATGTTGGCCAGGCCAGGATGGGCAAGATGTTGAGGATGATGGCAACCGCGACATTGGAGTGGCTGACGAGGGTGTGGTGGCGGGAATGGTCGTTGGCGATGGACACAATGGTGATGAAAACAAAGATGCTCCAGCATCGTGTGCTACCCCTCCTGGGGCGTGAAAATATTCTCTATGGTTGTTTTAGTTTCCTTTTGTTGTTTTTGCCCCCCCTTTTTTTTGTCTGTTTCGCTCTGGGCATGTAATGTATGGGTTTTGCTAAAAATTACTCTTTTGATTGTATGTAAAGACGTTTGGTGTGCTGGGTGTCCAGCTGCATGCTCTAAGCATTGCTCTCTTCTAACAGTATTTTGATGCACTAAGCATTTTGTTTTGCCCACATTAGTATCGACACGCTAAGTGTCAAGGCTGGGTTCTCTAAGCACCCGACAATAAAATTTAATGCGTTAAGTATTTAAACATTTTAAGATTTAATACACTGAGTATTAAAATTTGGCATATCAACCATTCGATTACATTGACCGTGGGTTCCAATACACTAAGTATGAGAATCATGTCGTTAAGCATAAAATCAAGTACACTAAGTACTAAAAAATGTGGTAAGTACGACGCTGGGCAACTGGGGCTATTTGCCACTTCGTCCTTAAAAGAAAAACTTCAAGTTTCTAGCGTTCCATGTTCTTGGTATCCGCCTTCCTTCCATTGTTTCCAACACATATGCACCATTCCTATTTGCTTCTATGATCTTATACGGGCCCTCCCATACTGGCCCAGCTTGCCTTGAGGTTGGGTTCGACTTGCCTCGTTCCTTCTCAGCACATACTCGCCTACTCTGAACGTTTTCTCCTTTACCCTTTGATTGTAATATCTTTCTATTACACGCTTGTATGCAGCTTGGCGTATCTCCGACTTCTCGCGTCTCTCTTCGAGGACATCCAGATTCAGCCTTAGGTCTTGGGCATTGCTCTCTTCATCCGCATTAACCGCTCTTAACATGCCAACCGTTATTTCAATGGGAAGTACATCCTCCGTCCCATATGTTAGGCTGAACGGGGTCTCCCGTGTGCTTGTTCGTGGAGTGGTTCTGTATGACCACAACACTGCCGGTATCTCCTCTGCCCAATTCCCCTTTGCCTTACCCAACCGTTTCTTGATGTCATTCACAATGGTTCGATTGGACACTTCTGTTTGCCCATTAGACTGTGGGTGCGCCACTGATGTGAACTGCTGATTTATCCCTTTACTGGCGCACCATTCTCTGAAAGGATTTTCAGCAAATTGTAGGTCATTGTCACTGACGAGCACCTTAGGTGTTCCGAACCTTGTCATGATATTTTTCCATACAAACTTTATCATGTGCCTTCCTGATATGCACGCTAGCGGTTCTGCTTCAATCCACTTTGTGAGGTAGTCTACTGCCACCACCATGTACTTCAGCTTTCCAGGTGCTTCCGGGAACGGGCCTACAATGTCTATGCCCCATTGGTAGAATGGCCATGGGTTGAATATGTTCTGCAGTGGTACTGGCGGGTTTGCTTGGACTGGAGCTTAAGACTGGTATTCCCCACACTTCCTAGTCACTCCCAGTGCGTCTTGGTGTACAGTGGGCCAGTATATTCCCATTCGGAGCACTTTACCCGTTAAAGCTCTAGCTCCCTCGTGTGCGCCCGCCTGGCCTGCATGCGCCTCCTGTAGCGCCTCCATTCGTCTGGCCTGATCTACGCATTTCAACCACGGTGCCGTGAACCCTTTTCGATACAGCTCCCCATTTATCAATGCATATGAGGGCGCCTTTATACGTATTTTCCTAGCTTCACTGTGGTCGTCTGGTAGTACTCCCCTTTGCAAATACTCCATAAATGGTGTCATCCATGTGGGCCCGGTGGTTGTCAAGGTATTTATCTGCCGCTCGTCTATACTTCTTTCCCTGAGCACTTCTACCAAAACCTTCTTCGATAGATGATCGAAACATGTAGATGCCAACTTGCTTAAAGCGTCTGCCCTCTTATTCTCGCTCTGAGGTATTTGCTTAATCGTGAACTGTCTGAAGGACTGGATCAGCTGTCTCACCATTCTCACATACCTCTCCATTCTCTGATCTTTTGCCTCAAAACTTTCGTTAATTTGGTTCGTGGCTAATCTCGAATCTGTTAGGGCTGTCACAGCCTTCGCACCCATTTGTTTGGCTAAGCGCAACCCTGCGAGCAAGGCTTCATACTCCGCCTCGTTATTTGAGGTGTGGAAGTCGAAACGAAGAGCATAGGTCACTTCCTCTCCCTCTGGGCTAGTCAAGATTAAGCCTGCCCCTGAGCCTTCCCTGCTGGACGCCCCATCGGTATATAGCGTCCATGAGCAGTCGTTGGCTGGGACCTCCTCTACCGCCCAGATTCTTTCCTTGGCTGAGCTTCCTTCGTCTGGAATTTCGAGCAAGAAATCAGCCAGTGCTTGCCCCTTAATGCTTGTCCTTGGACGATAGCTTATATCATGCTCCCCTAGCTCAATTGCCCACTTTGCTAACCGGCCCGATGTTTCTGGCTTGAGCAATATCTGTTTGATGGGGCAATTTGTTAGTACCTCTATTTGGTGTGCTTGGAAGTAGCGCCTCAAACGTCGCGCCGCGTAAATGAGCGCTAGGACTAGCTTTCCCAGGGTGGGGTAATTGAGCTCAGGACCCTGTAACGCCCTACTCACGAAGTATACCGGCTTCTGCTCTCCTTCCCTTTCTAACAAAATATCTAGATGAAAACCATAACTTTTGAAATATCACAAGGACAAAATTGTATTTTACTCTATAAATAATAATATTGGCATGTTACCTGGCAATAACTAACACCAAAGTTGTAGAACGAGTAAGTCATCAATATATCATCACCTTAATAGAACCACAATTGCCTGTCAGTCCTCACCTTAAAAACAATAATAAAATACTTAAATAAGAAAACCGAACATAATATGTGGGTTATAGAAGTTGGAAGGGAAAAATAGTCATTTACCTGCCATTGTTTTTTGATAGTCATATACTCTGATGTTTTAACTGAGACAAGATACTGTCCCTGTACGTATGTTGAACCATATGAATAAGATCCCACTAAAAATGCCCAACCCTGGAATTACATGTCATTAACAGATTTAGTTAAAATACTACGAAAGGGTAAATTCGTTAATTTTACCAAAAGTTTTTATCTTCGTTCTTATGCATGTATTTAAAGATTTTCCTGTATTTTAATTTTTTTTTTTTTAGAAATTCATATCTTATTTTTTGCATATGCGTTTTAATGCATCTATAATAGTAAAAACATGTAATAGTTCTATTTTTTTTTCTTACATATTAAATCAAAAGTGTACAACTAAATGTAATCCTACAGTAAATTAGCTTATTGTCCATAACATATATTCTGTCCATCCAATTTCCTTTTTTATATGTATTTTGATAGGAATTTCAAAGAAAACGTGTAATAATGTGAGTAGTTTCTAATTAGCTTTTGCCTTTTATTCACACTCCAATGCATAGAGATACTACTAGTGGTCACGGCTTATCATTTCCTCAAGATAACAAATAAGCACAAGCAAAGCAGGCTCATATAGACTCATATCTTCTGGATAATTTCTCTGTATCACATGCAATTATCAAATTCACATATATAAATTTATGCTTCAGATTAATCACCAATATATCTTTGCTATCACAGGCTTTTATTGTCAATAATTGTATATAGCTCTAGTAAGCTGATTTATAGGCTAGAAAACTGTAATTCAGGCTGATAACTAGCTTGTGTATTGAGTATATATTGAGGATTCTTCTCAAAGAGAAGACCCATCTTTTTCCCAAAAAACTCGCTAAATTGTCAAATTAGTAGAGTGTAGTTTGTGAGGGTAGAAGAGTAAATTTACTTGCCACTTTTTGAATTGGATCAGAATCCAGTGGAAACAGAAGCAGTTGTTTTGTTTGAAGTAGTTGTGCAATGAGCTGCCATATCAAAAACAATAATAGACATGTTAGAAACCACAGGTAAGAAATGGAATCGCGGATTCCGACAGAGTTGGAATTCAAGATTCCTTTTCATGACATGTTTGGTTGACGATTGGGACAGATTTTAGTTATGTTGGATTTTCTTGAAATTCCATTTTTAGTAATCGCTTCGCTGCCAAGAATTGGAATTGTGGATTCCAAGGGAATTGGAATTCAAGATTCCATTCAATGGTGCATTTGGTTGAAAATTTGGACAGAAATCAACTCTGTCAAATTCCTTCAAATTTCAAATTTGATGGACTTCAACCATTCATGAGGGCAGGTGGTTTCAATTTCATTACTCTTTTTTTTATTAAATGACCAAAAATACCCTTGATCACGGTTGAAATTTGGACCTAATCTTTCCATTAAAAAAAACAAAAACAAAAACAAAAACAAAACAAAACAAAACACCAGAAAGCTTGTGATTCATCTTTCATGATGAATAATGACATTGGAGAGAGATCACTCAAAACCCTGTGAGAAAATAAAAAATTTGTTTCTTACAAATATTAGCAAAATATTGTGTATAACAAAAAAAACCACAAATAATTAACAATCAAATTTAGTTTTGTTGCAATGTTCGTCTCTGGCACCAACGGTGTTAAAAATTTGTTTAAATAAAATGACTGGTAACGGTGTTAAAAATTTGTTTAAGTAAAATGGCTTTTTTACCCTTATCTTCGTCTTCTCAATCTCCTTCATCTTAAATCATAAAAACCTAACTAAATTCAGTCAACACCCAAAAATTAAAACAAAATCAAGATAAAAAAAAATTAAAATCTAACCTGACAACCTTTAGTTTTCATTTTTTTTCTTCAGTTTGTTGGTACCCTGGATCTTAATTTTGTTTTAGTTTTAGTTTAATTTTTGGGCTTTGGTTTGATTAGAGTTTAAGATGGAGATCAAGGAATTTTAGGTATATAGGATGAAGGATAAAAAGAACGAGGGCAAAATAGTCATATTTCACTTGGCATTTTGCAGCACCATCAGACCAGGGACAAACCTTGCAACAAAACTCTACTTACGCACCAAATGAAATATATAGATGAAAACCATAACTTTTGAAATTTCACAAGGACAAAATTGTAATTTACTCTATAACTAATATTGGCATGTTACCTGGCAATAACCAAGATGAAAGTTGTAGAACGAGTAAGTCATCCATATATCATGCAAAATGCGTACATTTGGATTATCATCACCCTCATAGAACGACAATGAGCTGTCAAGTCCTTACCTTAAAAACAAAATTATATTACTTAAAATCAAAAAACCACATTTTAAATAATTTGAAATGAAATGTATGGTTATTTTCATACCACATCTTTCTCGATCAAACCCTCCCTTTCTCTAATTTTTGTAAACCTTTTAGCCTGTTTCAAAGAAATACTGAAATTGCAATAAACATAATATATGTGGGTGATAGAAGTTGGAGGGCAAAATAGTCATTTACCTCCCATTGATTTTTGACAGTCATGCATTCTGATGTTTTAACTGAGACAACATATTGCCTCTTTGCGTATGTTGAATTGTATGAATAAGATCCTACTAAAATTGCCCAAACCTGGAAATACATGTCGATAGCAGATTTAGTTAAAACTAAGCAAAAGGGTAAATGTGTAAATTGGGTAAAATTTTCAAAGTACGATGTCTTAATAAGAAAAAGTTGAAAGTACAATATTGTAATAGAAAGAAAATGAAACTAGGATAAATCATTCATATATTCGATAATGAAAATTATGTATTAAGTACTAATTGGAAAACAAAATTATCTTCTATTAATGTATTAAGATATGATCCAGTAACAAAAATTGCAATACCTAATCCCATTTCTTAACATAATTGGAACAAGCATCACAGCTGAATGAAGAGGTTCCTGCAAAAAACTGAAGTTTTTTAACAAAAATCCCATATATAATTTTTTTATTCACAAAAGGGAATTGACTATTACCTCATCAGAGATACAAAAGTATACATCAGCACCCTCTTTATATTGACCACTTGATTTTAACATTTCAATCCACCATGAGGCATTGATGTCCTAATAAGCTAAATAAAAGCACACTTTTTAAAAAAATAAAACAAATGACAAATATTTTGTTGTAAAGAACTACCAGGCGGCATACTACATAAGTGCTGAAGGTGTTTTCCGTGCAATATTCAGCATCTTTTTTTGATTGATTCAACATGAAGTATGTTAATCCCATCATTTCCTGCAGATAATATATATAAGCACAAGTTTTAGGAAGAGAGGGGTATTTCTGGAAATAAACAAACAGAATTACAGACTCATAGCTTTTGTAATCAGTGGATAGAAGACGGAAATCACACAAAACCCTTATTTGAGATTCAATGGAACTAAAAGTGTATCTTTGTAGTAGCCTTGGAACAAAAAGCTCAGCAACTGAAATGTCAAAAAAAATCACAACGCTTCTTGGAAGTATCCTCATTTGATTAAGAATCAAGCATTTTGACCTTATGCCCCTAAAAATCAAACTTCAATCTCTAAAATCCTGCAGTAAGAAAATTACAAACATAAGTCCAAATATTTTTGTAGCAATGACAATCAAAATCTGTTTCAAATATGGAAATTTTACAGTTCAGCCTAGTGTATATTAACTGGAAAAGAGACCTAACTTTATTAAACAGAAACACACAACTTTACATGCAACTTTTAGTTAGAACCAAAATAAACTTCTATTTCTAAATGAGTTCAAAATGCAAAGAATAAATTATCTTTCCCTAATTGAATCTCTAATCGTTCAATAAGTTGTTTAATATTTACATTTGGCTTGTGCTTATTTACTTCTCTCTACATAATTTAATCCAATAACACTTTCACCCTCAAAACAACTCTTTAACTTAATTAAGACATTTCATCAAACACCTACAGTGCACAGAAGAACAATCTACAACTAAACAATACTTTTTTAGGTTTCAAGAGTATTTAAATATTACTGTTGCTTGACCAATCATCTTCACTTGATGGGTGCTTTCTATTAGGTGACCTGGTTCAAGAAACCAACAAAACAAAAAATAAATGGACGAGAAATAGAAAGAAAAAAGAAACCCAGAAATCGGAGGAGAAAAGACACAATTAAACTCACAACCTAGAAATCAGAGGAGAATGACTTGTACTCTTTTTCTTGATGGATGATGACGGTGAACCAAACTGACATCGGAACCAGACGTCATACTACATCTACATAGAATAAGGTACAACCCAATGGCCCGATGAATCCAGTGGTGAAGGGAGACCTGAATAATCTTAGCCTAGTTTAAAATACCTAACAAAACAAAAAAGGAAATCAATAAAATACACACAAAAAAAAATCAAGAACGTTACCTAACAGAGGAAGAGGGAAACGCAGAGAATTGTTGAACGCCAGAGAATGAAAGAAAGAGGAAACAGTGGTGTCGATGGAAGAAAAAGAGAAGAAGGTGGTGCCTCCAAATAAAACCCTCTTCTTCAAAGAAACATGTATGTCTCCGGCAGTGTTTGGAGAGAAGCTAGAGGGATGAGTGAAGAAGGTTATTTTAAGCGCCAATACACCGACCCAACCCTTTCGACTTCCGATTTCTAACGGTTCTTTTTATAAAACATTCCTAAATTACCATATTAACAAAATAACATTTCCATTTATCTTAAGCCACCTCACCCTTAACTTTTGTCTTTTTACCTTTTTAAACCACATTTTTTTCTTTTACTAAAAACTCGTCCTTACGTTTTTTATTCTACACGTTGACCCATTTTTTTAATTTTTATTATAGATTTTGTCTAAACTTATTTTTTTTTTTCACAACTTTCTTTTTATATATTTTCTAACATTTACGCTTTTCAAAAAAATTATTTTGTTACAGCTTTACAAAATAACATTTTTTACAAATATTCTTTTATTTGTGTTTTATATATGTTTTTTTTAGATTTCTCTGATTTTATAAATTATATTTTTTTTAATTCGTTTTCTATATTCTATAAAGAGTATTTTTTTTTTTACATCTTTGTTTTTTTTCAAATCGTTTTTAAAAGATTAGTATTCTTTAGAAAATTATTTTTTACAAAGATTTATATCTTCGTTTTTATGCATGTATTTTTTTTAAATCCGTATTAAAATATTTATTATTTTTAAAAATTTATTTTCTATTTTTTACATATTCGTTTTCACGCGTTTATAGTTATAAAAACATGTAGGAGTTATGATTTTTTTTCTTGACATATTCGTTTTTAAAAACCAAAAAATAATCTTCTTAAAGAGTGCATTTTTATGTTAGAGTCTAGATTAAGTCATGCTTATTGTGCATACTATATTTTCCGTAAAATATATTATGTCCCATCTAAATTCCTTTGTTTTACAATTTTGGAATGGTGAAAACATTTAAATATTTTAAAGGGAGGCCCATTCTTAACTCAAGTAATATAACATTTAAAATGTTTGTAGTTTTCATAATCTTTAAAATATCTACCAATATATAACTAAATAATATATAAATAAAGAAAAATAAAAATGTTGAAATATTTAAATTATCCAAAAATTCAATCACTAGACTTCAACCATCATCCACAAGAACCAAAAACTATGAATCTCTCAAAACTCAAAATTCAAAACCCTCACGTCAAACCTATCATGAACTATTTGTTTTCTTTTCTGTCACAATCATTTCTTCTTCGTCACAATCACTTCTTCTCCAATCCCATTATGTTGTTGAGTTTATATCCCCGTCATCGAGCCACTACTCACATTGACACTCTCCGTCTGGACCGGCGTGTGTCACTCCATAATCATGGTATGTCGATTGTTCGCCGCTCTTGCGAATTGTTTCTCATACTCGCTATTTTTTGGTTCTCATCGCTCCTCTTTTTTTGTCAAACTTGTAGATATTTTGTCTTTATTTGTTAGAAAACGTAGGTTGAAATCCACTCTAATGGCGTAACGGGACATAGAAAAAAGAAAAGTTTATTAGCCTATTGAGTATAACTAATTGATGAGTAACTTACACGACAATTTGAGAGTTATTGATGGTTATTTTGTAACATCAAGCAAATAATAGTTAGATATTTTAATTTATATATCATATTTACTAAAACTTAAATAAAATTTGAATAAAAAAGAAAGTTGTCAATTAATTATATATGTCGTCATTAAGACGGTTCTTGGAATCTAACTAAGGATAACATCTGTCTGAACCCAGACTCAACTGTATCGAGAACCGAAGAATCAAGAACCAATTTAGTGGAAAATAGAGAATTGAAAACAGGACTGGATACCTCATTTTCGGTTCTGGTTCGGTTCTACAAGCAAGTGTGCTCTTTAAGGATGTGTTGTTTCGGACCCAGCCCAACCCAGATTTAGAACCTAAGACCCTCCGGTCAATGTGTCTCAGCGGGACCCTCTGGTCCCAACTCAATAAATTCATAATAACAATATTCAGCATAAATCACAAGACATGATGCAAAATATTAAGATACACAGATAAGCACAATAAACATCTCAATCACACGAAAGTACCACTCATGGTAAGTATAGTGAGAAGACTCACCTCGTAAGCTAGCAAGTAAAAGTCTCGCACTCGGAAATCTCGAACTAGCCTCCGCCTAACACATTAGATACGTATCTCAAATCAATACACCACTTATACTCAATTACACCTAAGGTTGTTCTCTCATTCTCTCAAATTCTTGGAATGGGTAAAAGACCATTTTACCCCTCCATGGTCTCCACTACTAATGTTGGCCAAACCTTAAAGTCAAACAGAAGTAAATCACGAGTCAACTGACCCAGTTTGACCTGACTCGCCGAGTGCACTCTTGTGACTCGTCGAGTCCAGTCGTCCCCAGAAGTCTTTGTGAAGGTCCAGCTCGTCGAGTTAAACCCTAACTCGCCGAGTTACAACATAGACAGCTCATCGGGACAAACCCTAACCGACTCGTCGAGTCGGCTCCTTGACTCGGCGAGCCCATTCAGACTATTTTCTCATTCAGACGATTTCAATGCAGAAAACCTTCCCAAACTCTAGATCTACACTCTCAAGGCTCATTTATCACGTAAAGTCACAGACTTTACGTCCATGCATGGCACTTAGGGCTTGAAATGCCAAAACACACCTTAAAAAGGGTTTTTCACTCAATAGCATTATTATGGCTGAATAAAGCAGGGACTTTTGGACTCGAGGGACCTCACATGGTCCAGATCTTAAGTTCAAACCTCAACATGAACTCAAAACACTGTAAGTCCTCATGTTAGATAGAAAACAAAATGAGGAAGGTGTCAGCTTTATACCTTTCCTAGAAGCTATGAGGTGAAATAGCCACAGATCTAGCAACTCCTTCTTGTCCCTTGCCTTGGAATCCTTCTCTTCACTTCAAAAGATGTACCAAATGAGGCTATAAGTGCCCTTAAATAGGCCCCAAACCCGGGGATTTAGGGTTTCTCATCACAACGTCTACTCGGCGAGTCGGCTCCTGGAATCGTCGAGTAGGTCATTAATCCCACGTGGCACATCGCGACTCTACTCGACGAGTTACAGCATCGACTCGTCGAGTAGCTCATTAGTCCTCAAAATAATTAAATAGATAAACAATATACCTGGAAATCCGGATGTTACAATTCTCCCCCACTAGAATCAGACTTCGCCCTCGAAGTCATGGTCTGGGAATAACTCTGGATACTGCTCTCTCATCTCGGACTCCAACTCTCAAGTCAACTCGGACCCTCTCCGATGCTGCTACTGGACCTGAACCAGGGGCACCTCCTTGTTCCTCAGAACCTTCACCTTTCGATCCATGATCGCAATTGGTATCTCAATGTAATTCAGGCTCGCATCGACCTGAATGTCCTCTAATGGCACTACTGCCGTCTCATCTGCTACACACTTCCTCAGCTGAGACACGTGGAAGGTGTTATGGATCTGGCTCAACTCCGCATGTAGCTCCAAACTGTACGCTACCTTACCCACTCTGGCGGTCATCCTGAAAGGACCGATGTATCGGGGCCCCAGCTTGCCCCTCTTCGTGAATCGGATCACCCATTTCCACGGGGATACCCTCAGGAGGACAAAATCTCTAACCTGAAACTCAAGCTCGGATCGTCGCTTGTCGGCGTAACTCTTCTGGTGACTCTGGGCCGTCAGTAACCTCTGTCTGACCTGTTGAATCTGCTCAGTCGTCTGGATCACTATCTCGGTGCTACCCATCACTCGCTGCCCCACCTCT